CTGCACCAATTTGGTATAAACTCAGTTTACTAATGAACCAAGTTTAAATTAAAAATTGCCGTTTTTTCATTTAATCTTGCACTAGTTTACACTGGTTCACCTTTTCGTGGGTAAAACCTAGTTCAGAGGTAACGGATGTTAATTTCATATTTTCTCTATGCTGTTAAAGATTGAAATTTTGATCAACAATCAGTTTTTCTTCCACGTTTCAATAAAAATTGATCAACTTTTGTCATACAAATTATTGAATGTTCTTCTTAGGCATAGAAATAAAGCATAAAGTCTGTTCTGTAACTTCAACACGTGCGGTATTTCGATCAGTTTCCTTCTTTCTTTCCTATTTCATACCCGTTGCGCCAAGCCCCAGTTTACTAAGGAAACAAGTTCAACTTCAAAATAACAGTATTTTCATTTAATCTTGAACCTAGTTCAAAGGTTGAACCTGGTTCAACTTTGAAAGGCCGTCGAGTGTAGGTAAAACCGAGTTCAGAGTTAAGGGATGTTACCTGTGTGTGTTATTAAAGATTGAATATTTGATCAACAATCAGTTTTCTTCCCACCTTTCAATAAAAATTCATCAACTTTTGACTTGTAAATTATTGATTGTTCTTCCTTATATATATTTTTTATTTTTCTAGTCAACAAGCCCGGCAATTTTATTTTTTACAATATAACAATGGTTTTTCTTTCGAATATTTATTTGTACTCATCAAGTCACGTGATCATTAGACGACGAGGTTCAGTAGAACTTGGTTCAAATTAATGAACAAGGGTCCGGTGAACCTAGTATAAACCGTGATCAGTGCAACCGGCCCTTAAACTTTTTCTGAAATCTGAGAGGACTAGATTCTTTTGAATTTACAGTTAACTGACTGCATTGATTCCGGTGTGCCCCAAGGCTCTCATTTGGGGCCAGTATTGTTTCTGGTATTTTTCAATAACGTTGGATCAGTCCTTAACGACACATTTTCACTCTTAGCTGACGACCTAAAAATCTTTCGCACAACTCCTCATTTGAGCTGAATAATTTCCTGTAGGAGATCTGAACGCTTTATGGTCTTGGTTTGACATTAATAATATTAAATTAAAACAAAATAAGTGGAAGATTATAAGATTTTTCAAGAAAAGGGGCGCGAAAGAACTTGACTTGTTTGTTTACAAATTGAACGGTCATCCCATAGACGAGTTGGTTCCATCTCACGCCTTGCAATTATTTTTAATAAAAACTGCAATTTTTGTGATCACCTTGAGCAGTTCAAGAAAGCATTTAATTGATTTTTTTAAAGGTAGACAGATTGAACAAATGTATTTACCATAAAAAACGTCCACCAATCATTTGAAGTATGCAACCCATGTTGTCTCGCCCGGATCAAACAGCGGGTCGTGGGTTCCAATCCCGTACGTGATAGATGCATTTTCATCTCATTCAAGACCTTAGATAAAAAAATAAAATTAATGTACAAATAAGGTTGCGTTTGTTTGAGCTTGATTGATACTTGAAATTTGTGTGGGGTTTCTTTTTTTAAATTAACTTTAAAACTACAGCCCATGTAGGTTTTGGGTTTGTTTGTGTGGTTCTAACTAACTGTCTATTTGTTTGCTGTTTCATTTTTTCTAATATCTTAGTACTAACATGTGTATATTTGTAAAATATGAATTATTAAATAGGATTTTTTTTATATTTTACCTAAAGACGTACTGTACTTCTAGTACAAAAGCGCTCACACCATGGGGAAAAAGTTACTTTCGACACCTTTTTTAATATTTATTATTACTTTTACATTTTGGAATTTTATTATATATATTTTTGCCCGTTCTGAAAGTGAGATTGAACTGCTCACTTTATCGCTCGAGCATTTAACTGTAAGAAACAAAGACTGCCAACCTTGTTTTTGTGTTATCTAAATTGAATTGTGAGTCAAGTAGTAATTTATTCTTGTTGAATAACCTAGATTTCAAAGGTTTTAAGCGCGGTTTAATAATTTACCGTGACAACAATAAATTAACCGTTTGACTTAATTTTTTATTTTTCAAATTTATGGATTAAAAATCAAGCTATCTAAAGCTAATAAATTGTCTGTTTATTATTCGGTCTAGAGGCGATAAGATAAATTAATTTATTCGTTGATTTTTATCTATACTTTACTACTTTTTTTATATTTTATGGAAAATCTACGCAGTGCAGATTGTCAGATGTTTGTAACATGGCAATGTCAGCTCGTAAAGTTAAAGTAAAGAACTCGAACTTTAAGAACTTTCACGTCGAAAATTAACTCGAAAACCAGTCCTTTGAAAAAATAAATAAATAAATAATTGCCTCAAAATTGCACTCTGATTAAAATTTTAAACTTGAATGGGTGTAACAACGCAATAAAATTTTTTTAAATTATTTAAATTGTACAACAAAGTTCGTAACTTCTCTGCCTATACAAGCGTTTTAAACTTGGAGCGGGCAATAATTTTTTATTGTAATTGTAAGAAGAAAGATTAACTTTTTATTTTCATTACTTGAGTGCTAATGTTCAATTTTAATTGTTAATGCGTATAAAAAATTGTACAAAAATAATTGTTTACTTAGCGTCATTTCTTATTTTACTTTTTACGTTACTTTTTCCTCATATCTGTTAAAGATTACAATTATTTTTGAAAAGGTGTTATTTAAATGCCATTCAAATTTTGGACAGTTTTAAGAGATGAAATATTAAAAAATCACAATAAAACAATTGTACAAAAAATTAGCATAAAGCCTTAGTAATAAAAATAGTAATTGCATTTACTATGTTATAAACAGATATCGAAATAAAACATTAATTAGTAGGAGTAATGTGAATTTTAGGGGCCGACAAACAAGTGAGGTCATCGCCGGCCCTCTGCGTGTTTGTACTTCTTTTTCTGGTCTTGCAAAAGTATTTTGTTTTAAACTGTAACCACTTGATAATTAAATCGATAAAAATTAAGTCGATATCTTAAAATGCTAGACTCTCATTGTACCTCAGGTTGTTAAATACAGAATAAAAGGTACAATACGTATAATATACATCACCACAAAGTCTGGTCGTATTCACTTCCCCAGAGTACAAGATATTCCTCAGGGCGGGGTTGAATCCACTCCATTCTCGCTAATAACTTACTTTACTTTCCAGACGTCACACACTCACCCCAGTGTACTCGATATTCCTCGGGGTCGGGTTAAGCTACTCCTTCCATTCACGCTAATAAATTACATCCATTCTAATTAATTAGCATTCATAGCATTCACACCCGATACAAACATAGAAGTTTAGTCACATTCCAAAGTACTCGATATTCTTCTCGACGGGTTTATAAACAACTCCTTCCTTTCACGCTAATAAATTGCATTTATTCCAAAAAAGAACATGAACACAACACTCGATAGAAACATAGAAGTCTGGTCACATTACTCCCCCCCCCAAGTATTCGACATTCTTCCCGGCGAGGTTGCGCCTATTCCATTCTCGCTAATAAATTATTTCACCTGACCAGACGTTGCACTCTTCCTCTCAGAGTATTCCTCGGGGCGGCGTTCCCCCTTCTTTTTCGTTAATAAATTACATTCATTACAGTAAATTAACGTAAAAACGACACAAACACAAATAAACCCAACACTAACACTATGTGCATTCAAAAATGCCCATAGTCCTGAGGTACTGGAGCAGCAATCTGTGCTCGTTGCTGTGCCTCAAGTCTGCAAACAGGTCCGACGATATGTCGAAATGAACCACTTAAAACCAAAACTATTAAAAAAAAATTTCATTTTCTCAAAAATAAATACCATGACATTGGAAAACTATTTTTTGTTTTAATATATATTGTTCAGTTAAATATATCAAACTAACAATGGTTACATTTGTCAATCTAAAAATACACGTATTTGAACAAACGTTTACAGGGTGCACCAGCGGAAAATTTTTAATATTTTCAAAAAATGCGAGTCGCAATTTTTGATGTGGTCCAAAGTGGTGGTACTCGTTCTTGTCAGACACATTTTAGTTACAGAAAAAAATTAAAAATTTGGGGGTCCCAATTTGAAAACAAAAAACGTGTCCGATACATGACGAAGAAAAAAAAAATTGACTGCACTTTTGGAATGTACGCAAAAATGTAACGGGGATTACCGTTGCTCACTTTTTCGCATTTACTCAAAAGATAGGGCAAACCTGCTGGCGCACGTTATAAAAGACACCCTGTTTATTTATACATTCAAGAAATCAGAAAAAAATCATTACAGCTAGACAGCTAGGATATTTGGAAAAAAGTTAATTCGTAAACAAGGAAATACAGCCCTCGCGTTTTTTTGTGTTTGTGTCGTTGTGTATGCACACCTACTTAGCCAAATATATACCTAACAAAGCACAATTTTGGATAAAAAGCACAATCACAGAGGTGGTATAAGAATATGACAATTAGAATCATTTGATATCTTTGTCTTTGTTCAACGTGGCTATCCGTGGTTAAATTTTATGCCTATATAGGCATAACTGCATACATACGGTATACCGGCATTTATAAGAAAAAATAAATATTACCAGAAATTTATGTTAGAATCATCAATCGTATAGACATATTTTTGTGGGTACTTACACTTATACACATGTACATAATACATGTTCTTTTCCTGACATATCTATTTAATTTTTTCTAGATTTTTATTATTTATTATTTTCTTTTCATAAAAAAATCAAAAAATCTCATAATAATAAATAAAATATGCTGCAGAGCTATTAAATAAATAATATGTTCTTTTTCCAATATTTTCATGGAGATTGATCATTTTCATCATTCGAAGTGTTCAATTTTCTTCGCTCAGCCATTTTCCAAAAGCGCACATATAAGGGCTGTAAAGACTGGAAAAGGTCTACATAAAAAATGCACCTTTTGATTAAAAACTTTTGTAAATGTCAATAAAAAGATAAAAACCAATGAGTCACCGGTAATTGTAAAAGTTAAATTTGACAATTTTCCTTTTCTTTTTTTTCCAGACGAGAGGGACGCCATACAGAAGAAGACTTTCACGAAATGGGTCAACAAACATTTGAAAAAGGTGAGTCACGAATTTCGTCGGCATGTTCTCTTCTACCGGTGTGTTTACACTTTCGAAATGGAACCGATTCGACGGTCACGTTCGCTCTGGAATCTATCTCTGATCCAGAGAGCCGAGATTCTGGGGGTCAGGCAGATCACCTTGGGATTTTTATTCCGAATTAATTAACTATTAAAAACTCACGTTATATTGCTGGTAACCTCAAATAAATCGAAAGAAAGGCTGATAGATCGCAATTAACTTTAACATAATTTTATAATTATGTGCGTACATATAAGATGGCCGTGATATGTCATCGCCTGGTCTTCCTGTTCTCGAAGGTTTTTCGCAAATGTAGAATTTAAATGATAATCAACTTCTTAATTCGTACGAACATTATTTACTATGATCATAATAAAAGTTAAGTATGTTTATCGTTACCTAGTCTACGTTGACAACATACAGATTTATGATACACGCGCCATTGCCGATTGAAGAAAAAATCCTTGACAAGAATTTCTAAGTCCTCGTCGGTTAGCATTCACATTATTACAGAGTACTCGATACTCCTCGCGGTAAATGCCGATAAGCCCTTCATTCACGCTAATAAATTACTTTCACATATTCTTTCACACTACCCCATACTACATATTTCTCGGGTTAATTGGGGATGAGCCCCTTCATTTGTATTAGTAAGTTATGTTCTCAATAGCCCAGAGTACTTGGTGTTTTTCTGGATATTTGTATATAAACCCCACATTCGCGAAAATAAATTACATTCACAGATTTAGTCTCACTATCCCAGAGGAGTGATATTCCTCGAGGAAATTTAGGATGAGCCCCTCCATTCACGCTTATAAATTAAATTCACACAACAGTCTTCGTTCTCACTATCCCAAGTATTACCCACATTACCCAAGTACTTCATATTCTTCGGGGTAATTGGGGACGAGCCTCTCCAATCGTATTAATAAGGCACATTCACAAACAATCATTCATTCACAGTCCAGAGTACTAGGTATTTTATTTCCTATATTTACTTGATAGTTTTCGAGGTAATTGTGGATAAGCCCCACATTCGTGCTAATAAATTACATTCACACTACTCCAGAATACTAAAAGCATACAGAGTAACACATCAATTTGTTTTAAAACAAGCCAAAACAAATGGTTTTTCATGTTTTTTCTTATTTGTACATGTCGAAACTATACAAAANATTATATATATATATATATATATATAACTCTAACCGGCGGCACCTTCATCATTCAGCTTTTGACATCAATTCCCAATCAACCAGATTTATTAAATTTCAAGATATTACAGATTTAACTTGCAATATCGCCCTTTAAGAAGTTGAGATTTATCGATCGAGAAGTTGACATTTTGCAATGGGCTGAGCGATTTTGACAATAGCTGTAGTTTGTTAGCGCCAAGTTTGAAGCTGTTTTTATTTAATTTTTCTTCCTATAAAAAAAATATATCGCCCCTCCATTCATGCCAATAAAAAATTACATTCACATATTCATTCACACTACCCCAGTGTATTCGATATTCCCCGGAGTAATTGGGGATAAGCCTCTCCATTCACGCAAATAAATACATTCAACACGTATCACGTATATCAAGGCGCAAAGATCTATGATGATATATTATGATCAGATAAACACATAAATTTGTAATGTTTAAGCAAACCGACCATAAACCCAATACGTTGACATTCTTTGCTTTTAAAACTTTTTCGATTAATGTAAGTTCCCCGGCTTAAAAATAACCGGATAAAACAATGCAGTACTTTCTACCATGTTCGAGAATAGAAATGTAATAAATCAGCATAAGTAATCCGGAGGTTTTAGACGTCGTACGTCGTGTAAACAATGAAAGTGAAAAATATTCCGTGCCCACATGAAAGAGCCAACAAGAATCTGAATATTTGATGGGAAGATAAATATTTTTATAGATTTCGAAAAAGAAAAGGTTATATAATGTTTATTACACGACAATTTTATTGTGGATTGACGGTTCTTTATAACTTGGTGTTATTTATTTCTCGTGTGCGTAGGTTAATCGATAAAGAAAATAGCTTGAAGATTTCGATTTTTGGCGAGTTGAATGAATGAAAAAACTTATTTTCAGTTATTACGTACATTTCTTTTTATGACATAATTACTACAACTATAAAAATAACGAATTTGTAGAACTTTCAGTTCAATTTGTATTTTTTGAGACCTTGATTCATACACGCACGCACGTGTAATGTACGTTTAGACTTCAAGTGTAGAAAGAAAAAAAAAACTTATGCAGCACTTCAAATAAGCTATTAATCGAAGGAATAGAACGTATGTAAATTTATACCGTTTGAGATAAGTGTACTATGTAAAATTCATGCGGTCTAAATAGGCTTTGTGGTGAAGGATTGTAGACGTAGGTCAGGTGGTTATCTACTGGCGTTTTAACTGAAAAACAAATTGCATCACAGAGATCGGCTTTTATATGCTCAATCGTATGGAAAATTGTAAAATTGTATTTGATCTTGTTTGGATCCGGCCTGGGCTGATTTAAGAAATCGTAATCATTTAGGATTTTATTATTAGCAAATGCACTTTGGTCCATTTGTGAGGTTGTATTAATGCATTTTAAATTCTTAAACGACTTTGAATGGCCTCGCCGGAAAACTTGTTGATGTATATAATTCTTCAGGAAACGACTTGATATTCCGAAGTATTCGACAACAAATGACTCGAATATCAGCAATGATTCAATCCAAATCAAACACGTCCTTGATCCACATACAACAGAAAACACAATCGGTAAGGATTTTATCATTGTTATATTTAGATGTATTTTCATATTTGAAATCAAATCAATAACAAAATTCAATTAAAGCCTCGTAGGATAAGGGTAATGAATTCTCCAAGTCAGCGCGTCAACTCTCAAGAGTGATAAGTCCACTCGAAACGGATTCGACGTTTCTAAACAGTGTGTATATGATACACTTTCCTTTTTTATATTTAGTTTATATCAATAATTCGAGTGTTTAATTCTCCTCACTCGATAACACGGATTTTTGATAAGAAGGTCAGAGTTCGATCTGAGAAATTTGCCAATTATTATCCTCGGGGTTGTCAAATTTCACTTATCAATTATAAAATCTAGGTAGTACTGGGAAAATTGACCTAGTTTCTACCTATAATTTTTTATTATTTTTTCGAGTTTAATATTTCATATTCCTTTGCTTACTTCGACAAAACGCTGTTGACAAATATCGAATGTTGGAGGTATTTAGGAATTTTTTTTAGCTTTATTTACAAATAGGTGTAGCACTTTTCAACACACCGGCTCAAAATTCACAAACAATTGGAAAATCGGATCGTTTTACCCGGGTATAAATTTAATTTAAGATTCGGTTCAATAAAATGTCATTTCTTTTTATAAACCGACAGTCCAGTAATAATAATAACAAAACGTGTTCCACCAAGACCTCTGACTCCATTATTAACAATCACTTCACTTTTGACATGTTTCTTATATATACATATATTTTTTCACGCTAATAAATTACATTCATCCCAATAAATTGATAACAACAGAACCATAGAAGTCTCTGGGTCAAATTCACTCGCCCAGATAATTCGATTTTCCTCGGTGAGGGGGTTAACAACCCTTCCTTTCAAGCTTATAAATAACTTCTCTAGTTGTAGTGGTCCGCTTGACCAATTAATTTATTTTAATTAATTAGGATTTTTAGTTGAGATAAAAAAGTCAGTGTCACGAGCGGGATTCGAACTCACCAGCCAAAGATCGTTGGTTCGAATTCCGCTAGTGACACTTATAAATCACATTCATTTAAATTCACTAGTTTCGTGGTCCGCTTGACCAATTAATATCTTACAATTAATTAAGGCTTTCAGTTGAGATAAAAAAAGTCATTGGCACGAGCGGGATTCGAACCCACGATCTTCGGCTTGCTACGCCGCTGCTCTACCACTTGAGCTATCGTGACCTCGATCCACACGGACACCAACCTCCCATCTCAACTTTTGAATTTTCCCTCCTTTTTGCCATTTTTCAAATGTCGTGTAATTAATTTGATTCTCGGCGACAAATGAATTGGCCACGGAGAGCTTTAGTGAAGCATTTTAAACTTATTAAATTCACTAGTTTCGTGGTCCGCTCGACCAATTAATATCTTATCAGGCGATTCAAGCCGAAGATCGTGGGTTCGAATCCCGCTCGCGCCATTGACTTTTTTATCTCAACTGAAAACCGTAATTAATTTAATTCATTTAAATAATTTAACATAAACACCATATTGTATAGAAACATAGAAATCTGGTCACAATCCCCCCCCCCAGAATAGTAGATATTCCTCAGTATAACACCCCCCTCCTTTCACGCTAATAAATTACATTCGTTTCTATAAATTAACATAAACACCACATTGGATTGAAACATAGAAGTCTGGTCACATACACTTCCCAGGAGTACTCGATATTCCTCGGGGGAGGGGTTTAACACCCCTTCCTTTCAAGCTTATAAATAACATTCATTTAAATAATTTAGCATAAACACCAAATTGGATAGAAACATAGAAATCTGGTCACATTCTCCCCCCTCCCCAGAGTACTCGATATTCCTCGGCGAGGGGTATAACCCCCCTCCTTTCACGCTAATAAATTACATTTGATTCTATAAATTAACATAAACACCACATTGGATACAAACATAGAAGTCTGGTCACATACACTTCCCAGGAGTACTCGATACGCATACATTTTATGTTCAAATTTTCACTTTGCATTGGGAATTGGAGAGCCACTTCTCCAACAAGATACTCAAATGCCAAATTTAATATATATGAACATATTTAATTAATATAATATTTGTAATTGCAAATATGAAATAAATCTAATTTTTAAAAAATGTTCGAAGTAATATTAGAAAGAGAAACCCATATGCACACTTGCTTGAGGACGTTCGAAAAACAAATTCACAATTAGCAAATCATTTTTTAAAATTT